TAAGGCCACCAAAACAGATCCCCTCAACACCTTGGCTGTGCCTAGAAATTCTGTCCATAAAAGTTATGAACAGAATCGGTGACAAAGGGCAACCTTGGCGGAGTCCAACTCTCACCGGGAACAAGCCCGACTTACTGCCGGTGATGCGGACCAGGCTCTGACACAGGTCATACATCTCCCAGCATAGATCTTGGCTCACTGTCATTTTATCTCAAGGACTGTGTCACCAATCTGGGGGTGAAGTTTGAGTCTGATTTTAAATTTGAAAAACAGATCAGCAGTGTTGTTCAGAAAAGTTTTTATCAACTCTGCCAAATAGCAAAAGTGAAACCAATCCTAGCAAGACCTGACTTGGAGAAATTAATCCATGCTTTTATCACAGCTCGTCTTGACTACTGTAATGCGCTGTATGCAGGCATTAGCCAGATGTCACTTGCTTGTCTGCAGCTTGTGCAGAACTCTGCTGCTCGCCTGTTAACTCAGGCTCGTAGGCGCGAGCATATTACTCCCATCCTGGCGTCCCTTCATTGGCTCCCTGTGCACTACAGAATTAATTTTAAGCTTTTGCTGTTTGTTTTTAAATGTCTGAACAACCTTGCCCCACCATATCTGTCTGAGCTGCTTCAGCCTTACTGTCCACCCCGATCCCTACTATCAGCTGATCAGCTGCTGCTGACAGTCCCTAAAACTATGCTGAAGCTCAGAGGTGACAGAGTGTTTGCTGTTGTTGCTCCCAGGTTGTGGAACAATTTACCCTTGAGTGTCAGACAGGCCTTCTCTCTTCCTGTTTTTAAATCTCTTTTAAAGACACACTTTTATTCTTTGGCTTTTAACACGTGATCTTATCTTTTACAGCTTTTTAATACACCTGCTGTGAAACTGGTATGTGAATGGTTTTTTATGTTTCTTTGTGTATGCTTTGTATGTTCTTATTGTTTTAATTGTTTTTATTGTTTTATTGTGCAGCACTTTGGCTACCCTTGTGGTTTTTAAAATGTGCTATATAAATAAAGTTGATTGATTGATTGATTGATACAGGGACCTAACAGCCCGTATCAAAGGGCCCGGTACCCCATACTCCCAGAGTACCCCCCACAGGGTTCCCCGAGGGACGCGGTCGAACGCCTTCTCCAAGTCCACAAAGCACATGTAGACCGGTTGGGCAAACTCCCACGCACCCTCCAGGACCCTGCTGAGAGTGTAGAGCTGGTCCAGTGTTCCACGGCCAGGAAGAAAACCGCACTGCTCCTCCTGAATCTGAGGTTCGACTATCCGACGGACCCTCCTCTCCAGAACCCCCGAGTAGACCTTACCAGGGAGGCTTAAGAGCGTGATTCCCCTGTAGTTGGAACACACTCTACGGTCCCCCTTTTAGAATAGGGGGACCACCACCCCGGTCTGCCAATCCAGGAGAACTTCCCCCGATGTCCACGCAATATTGCAGAGTCGCGTAAGCCAAAACAACCCTACAACATCCAGAGCCTTAAGGAACTCCGGGCGAATCTCATCCACCCCTGGGCCCTGCCACCGAGGAGCTTTTTAACCACCTCGGTGACCTCAGCACCAGAGATTGGAGGGCCCGACCCAGAGTCCCCAGGCTCTGCTTCCTCAGTGGAAGACGTGCCAGTGGGATTGAGGAGGTCTTCAAAGTATTCCGCCCACCAACCCACAACATCCCGAGTTGAGGTCAGCAGCACACCACTCCCACTATAAACAGTGTTGGGTGGTGTACCACTTTCCCCCCCTGAGACGCCGGATGGTGGACCAGAATCGCCTCGAAGCCGCGCGGAAGTCATTCTCCATGGCCTCTCCGAACTCCTCCCATGCCCGAGTTTTTGCCTCAGTGACCACCTGAGCCGCATGTTGCTTGGATTGCCGGTACCCATCAGCTGCTTCCGGGGTCCCACAGGCCAAAAAGGCCCGATAGGACTCCTTCTTCAGCCTGACAGCATCCCTCACCGACGGTGTCCACCATCGGGTTCGAGGGTTGCCGCAGCGACAGGCACCGACAACCTTGCGGCCGCAGCTCCGGTAAGCCGCCTCGACAATAGAGGCACGAAACATGGTCCACTCAGAATCAATGTCCCCCACCTCCCTCGGAACATGTTCGAAGTTCTCTTGGAGGTGGGAGTTAAAACTCTGTCTCACAGGAGACTCTGCCAGACGTTCCCAGCAAACCCTCACAATACGTTTGGGTCTGCCAGGTCTGACCGGCATCTTCCCCCACCATCAGAGCCAACTCACCACCAGGTAGTGATCAGTGGACAGCTCCGCCCCTCTTTTCACCCGAGTGTCCAAGACATGTGGCCGCAGATCAGATGAGACGATGACAAAGTCGATCATCGAACTGTGGCCTAGGGTGTCCTGGTGCCAAGAGCACATATGGACACCCTTATGCCTGAACAAGGTGTTTGTTATTGACAATCCATGACGAGCACAGAAGTCCAACAACAGAACACCACTCTGGTTCAGATCAGGGGGGCCGTTCCTCCCAACCACACCGCTCCAGGTCTCACTGTCATTGCCCACATGAGCATTGAAGTCCCCCAGCAGAACAAGGGAGTCCCCAGAAGGTGCACTTTCCAGTACCCACTCCAAGGACTCCAGAAAGGGTGGATAATCTGAACTGCCGTTTGGTGCATAAGCACAAACGACAGTCAGAACCCGTCCCCCCACACGTAGGCGGAGGGAGGCTACCATCTCATTCACCGGGGTGAACCCCAACACACAGGCACCAAGTTGGGGGGCAATAAGTATGCCCACTCCTGCTTGGCGCCTCTCACCAGGGGCAACTCCAGAGTGGAAGAGTATCCAGCCCCTCTCAAGGAAACTGGTTCCAGAGCCAGAGCCATGCATAGAGGTGAGTCCGACTATTTCTAGCCAGAACCTCTCAGCCTCACACACCAGCTCAGGCTCCTTCCCCACCAGTGAGGTGACATTCAACGTCCCAATAGCCAGCTTCTGTAGCCGAGGATCAGACCGCCAGGGTCCCCGCCCTCGGCCACCACCCATCCCACATTGCACCCGACCCCTTTGGCCCCTCCCACAGGTGGTGAGCCCATGGGAAGGGGGACCCACGTCTCCTCTTCGGGCTGTGCCCGGCCGAGCTCCATGGGTAAAAGCCCGGCCACCAGGCGCTCGCCCGCATGCCCCACCTCCAGGCCTGGCTCCAGAGTGGGGCCCCGGTGACCCACGTCCGGGCAAGGGAACATTAGGTCCGTTTATTTTTCTCATCTCATCCCATCTCATCATGGAAATGAGTTGTTCTTTTTAATGTCCTGTTCAGGTTTGCTTTGTTATTTATGATGAAGTCTGTTGTTGACTGACACCAGGAGTCAGAGACTGTTCCTGGTACATACAGTTCAATTCAATTCAGTTTGTTTATATAGCACCAAATCACAACAAAGTTGTCTCAGGGCACTTTACAGGAACATTCACATACATAGAAAAGCCAATTACTAAAGTTCTCTATCTAAGAAGGAAAGCCTGAGTGGTTAAACAGTGAGACACTACAAATCAACGACACAAGGCCAGGCATCACCATGTGACATCATTATTCAGTGAGCACTCTGAAGAATGATGTCACATGGTGATGCCTGGCCTTGTGTCGTGCAAGTTGATGGTTTTGATGGGGAGGCTCTTCAGACAATGTATTTTTGTACGCTCATGAAAATGTTGAAAATTGAGACGGGCTCATAACAGACCAGCCTTGCACTGACATATTTGCCAATTACTGGTAATTTTTTTTTAAGGCATCATTCAGATTTTTTTCTGATTGTTAATTTTTTATTAGATAACTTATCAGCAGACCTGACTTAAGTCACCTGCTGGCCAGAAGTGGCCAGTTTAATAGTCCTGATACAGACGGACAAAAACAGACTGTTTATAACTTGCAGAACTATGATTTTCATAAAGTCTTGGAATATATTTTGTGGATGACCCTCAGCTACCATCACACCAAACCATAGCTCATCTGTAAAAATGACAATTATAGCCATTTTGGGGTTTGCTAAAGTAGCTTAGCCTTGGCGGCCATCTTGAATTGGATTGAAACTTAATTAGCCAGGGCGGCTGTGGCTGAGTGGTTAGAGCAGTCGTCCTCCAATACGAGAGTTGGGGGTTCGATTCCGCCAGCAGTCACATGCCGAAACGTCCCTGGGCAAAACACTGAACCCTTAAATGTCTCTGATGTGTGTCCCATCAGTGTATGAATGTGATAAAGCTCTGATTATTCTTTGTTTAGATCTAGTAGAATGCTGTATGAATGGGTAAATGAGGCACAGACTGTGAGGTAAAGTGCTTTGAGTATCTTGACCAGATAGAAAAGTGCTATATAAGTGCAGTCCATTTACCATTTACATAGTTGTAGATGTACATCAAATGACTACTTTCTGGAAAGTTCCAATAAAATCTGCCCCCGATCAATGAGATATTTTGTTAACTCCACATACACATTACAGACATGGTT